CTGAGCCAATACTTCACCAAACACATTTAAAAGTTCTTACAGAGTTATAAGATATTTAGAACTTTTAGCTGAATGAGATAAAAGTACACGTACAGAATTCTAGTATTTCAATTTTCCATCATTCATTCGGGGATAAAGTCTATCATTGAAGTTACCATTATAATACTAGTGATATTATTTTGTCGTGTGCCTTATAGCTTGAATTAATGCATTCCCATTAAAGTGAGTAATGTCTCTAAATTCTTTTTGGTTTACTTTCGGATGCTCGATGTTGCTCAACTACAATTTATAGTTATGACTGCAAGAAATTAAGCTTCATTATAGTCATAGTAATGAAAGAAATATATTTTGTAGACGTGCATCAGTTAGAACTGGAAGAATGGATTAAACAAGATCAGAAATTTATTAGAACAAAAGCAGTTGAAATCATTCTTGATAGAAAACTTAAAAACCAACAATACACTAGTCGTGACAGGAAAAACCGGCATTGAGGAATCAAGTGGCATTAACATTGTATAAATTGCGAGGATACAGTATTATCCCCTGTCGCAGCCCAAATGATACTAATTATTAAACATTCAATGTCGTAGGTGATGTATATGTGGACGATACATTGTAATAAGAATGGTGTTGACAAATTGATGAAAAATTAAGAGTTAATAAAAATATTTTACTGAAGGGAAAAATAAATTTGTTGTTTTCATGTCGATTACAGATTTTTCAGGATAAACAATATCAACGTATAAATGGCATTTCAGATAATGTATACAATTTGTCTTCTGAAAATTTGTCCTTGTCTTCAGATGAAAGATGATAAGCAGTACCTTTCAGAAGACGATGTAAAAAAATGAAGACAAATTAGACAAATTTGAATATTTTCCATGGTTGTGTTCTTTGTATGGTACAAATTCTGAGATTGACGTGACATATTGTTTTGATAAGCCAGTCGAGGTATACATTAAAGAAATTGACAAATTGCTTGAACAGAAAGGCAAAACTAAATTGTGTGCTGTATTTTTGTATGTTGTGTACGATACTTCTATTTGAGAGACGGATTTGAAAGATGAAACAAAAAGACCCAATTTGGAACAGATTTTTTAAGCAAACGATGTTAACAGGTAACAGCATCAAAGAGTATTACCGACCATTTTAATTCCATCCTTGAAATTTACCTGAAAAAAGTAGACATGATCACAAGACTTAAAAAATGGAAACTATTCGACTTTCACTTACTTGAAACACAAAACGTTCATTCTCTTACATCAACATATACCATTGGAGTTATCTATACAACAATTCACGATGAAATGTTTGACTTCCTCTGTTTTTGTTTTAAATTGGACAAAAATTACAAAAAGCCTTTATTCAATATGCGCATAGTAGAATAATTAAGTAACAAACGCAGCTAAAAGATTTGCATGAAAAAAAAACATGATGATTTTACTGAAGAAATACAAGAGCAATATGAAGAAGACTTTTTCAGTAGAATTATAGCCGACGCATTAATGGCTACAGGCAAAAGCTGGTCATGCATTTTCATACATTAGACTCTCATTCTTTAAAAAAGATTTTACAAACAGAGGAAATTATTAGTCAGAAAACGGTATCATAAAATTTATGGTTTGCGTGGAGGGTTATATTGATATCTTAAAATTCATTATCAATTTTATTAATGACTGGAAAATTTCCAAATGGGATCATAACAGATTTTTTCCACTGCACGATGCGTGCGAAAGCGGTCAAATAGAAGAAGTGACATATCTTGTACTAAAATGAGTCGATGTTTATAGGTAAGATAGTGGTACATGTACAGTAGTTCTAGCCCTCTCTTAAGTACATGTCGAAACGGCTTGTATGATGTCCCTTTATTTCTATTAAACAATGGTGCTGATAAAGACACAGCAAACAAATATGGTGTTATTCATCTGAGTGCCTCTTGTTCAGATGGACATTATGAAATTGTTTCTTTTCTACTTGACAGTGGAGCGAGCGTGAATAAATAGAAGAAAGGCCAATCACCAATCACGATGCGTGCAAGCGGTCAAATAGAAGTGGTGACATATCTTGAACAAGATGGAGCCGATGTTAATATGTTAGATAGTGATAGTTCTAGCCCTCTCATATGTATATGCCGAAACGGTTTGTATGAACTCTTGTTATATCTTTTGAACAATGGTGCTGAAATAGACACAACAAATTCATATGCTGTTACCCCTCTGAATGCCTCTAGTTTACATGTACATTATGAAATTGTTTCTTTACTACTTGACAGCGAAGCGCGCGTGAATGAAGGGAATACAGAAGGACAATCACCACTTATTAAAGCCTCAGAAACGGAAACGTCCGTATTATTGAATTAATATTTCAGAAAGGTGCGAATATAAACCAAGTTAAGTTTGATGGTATGACTCCACTAATGACAGCATACGAAGAAGGATGGCATGATATTGTTAAACTTCTTTTGAGTCGAGGATTATTGGATATCGCAGTAAGAGATAATAAAGGATGGAAATGTTTGACGTATGAAATTAGAACAGGATACAACAGTATAGTGGAGATTGTATTAGATGATAAAATTTCAAATCTAAAGAACTCTTATATCAAATAGTTGGTCCATTTTGCTGATAATATTGGGATGAGTCCTCTGTTCTGGTTCTGTCAAGATATGAAGTTCCCTACGATTGAGCTCCTAATTGAAAAGGGAGCACATGTAAATCAGGGGGATGAGAATGGAGAAGCACTCCTTATGGAAGCATGTGAGCATAGGAATACAAACGTTATCTTACTTCGGCATTGTGCTGATCCAACAAAAGTTGATTTATAAGAATGGATCAATGGCATGTACAAGAGCATCAGCAAGTGGAATGGAAAACATCGTTGACTTGATTTTGAAAAACAACGAAAGTTCACAAGTATTTACAGTATATGATGTAAATTGTAATTTTTTCAACTGTATTAGATGTACCAAACCTTCATAAGAAACCTAAATAAAGTTAAATCTCTATAACCCCTTTCATACTTGTTTTTATTTTGCATGGTTTTTTCGTACACATCCATTGTAAAAAATGTTTGTAAAAATCAACTTGGTTTTACGAAGTTACATTCTTTAACATTTTTGAAGTATTAAGAAAATATTTAGGTGCATGACAATTTCTAAAAAAAAATAAACATTAAATCATGGCTCGATCAAGAATAGTAGAAATCGCCAAATTTAAACTTTCCTTGAAAGGTTAAAACATTAGATCTCCAAAATATATTAAAAAAATCTCTAATTCTTACCCAAGTCATAAATACTACCCGACAAGTTGGTTATTTTTTTTTATTATCAACGTGTGGCTCGTTTGATCTCAATCCTTAGTCAAATTTCTATTATGACGTCAACTTTTTACTTTTTCGTCTGAATTTCCTGTTGAGTCGTCATGAAAAAAGGCGACCATGTCTGATGACGTCAGATTGAAGGAACATATTTTTTTGTCGATCATAATTGATCTGAAAGAAAGATAAAATTTGTCTACACATCATCTCAAAAACATTCGAGGAACAGATTCTACCACCGATTCTCGTGCAATACGATATTTCTAGAAAAAGGATATAAAATTTAACTGTCAAAATATTGTATCACACTCGATGTAGTGGTATCATCGTATATTTTTCAGCTGAGAACGTATCAAAAATGTACATAATAAACAGTTGCCAATGTCATATATATAATAATATGGTACAATTGGAGATAATAAGTCTACTATAACAGTAACATCGATCCAGTAGTAGCATCTTCAAAATAATATGTATAGACAGTTTCTGTCTGATGTACGTTCTAACTTGATACAACAAAATAAAGGGAATTTATAAAAGCAGCTTTTGTGACAATTTAGTTTAAAATGACAACTTCGATTTTTGTTAATAGTTTATCACATTCCTATGTGCTTCGTACACTTAACGTATTTATCAACATCCAGATTTTCTCCAGATCAAAGACTATCATTCTTTCATCCATACGGACTCTGAATTTTAATTATTTCTGCTCATATCCAGATTTATGTTTGCAACAACCGAAAACTAAGATCTATAAAAAAAACAGAGGGTCTGGATGGGGTTTACAAAATTGAAAAATAATGGACAAAAAGTGCAGAATAAGGGGAAGGGGTAAAGAATAGAGAAAAGTAGGCCCAAAAATAAAGAGTGGGGATTAAATGGGTGCTAAAATATAAAAAATAGAGAATAAAGGGCAATATAGATAAAGAATAATGAAACATGGTATAAAAAAATAAAGAATAAAGAAATGAGGGACCACCAATCCAGACCCTCATAACAAGCACGAAGTATTAAGTTCTGTTGTCAATATTTTATTTGTTAAGATCTGGTTTGATCCTGAATGGGTTTTGCACGTTGTAACATCAGATATTTGTGATTTAGAAAATAGTTTGCTGTCTAAAGAAAATACTTTAATGTGATGCGTACTATTTAGTGTTGTACAATATGTGTATTATGTGAAGGATGAACACGTTCTCGTTATTCATCTCCTTAGTACATGTAACATTCATTGGACTAGCTCAATATTTCATCTAATTCTTTCCTTATACTTAACTTTAATGAACTTGTTTTGTTTCAGCTGGGAAGCGAAAAAAAGTATCTCCATTGAAAATAAGGGGAAAAATAAAACCGATATTGAGTTTCAGAGAGAAAAATTTGGCTTGATCCTGCACATGTTATTAAAAAGATAATATTTATTAAAAAAAATAAAAACATATTTTGTCCCGAGAATAAAACAACAACTCATGCCCCTCCCCTCCCCCACATACAAAAGATGAATGGTCGGTGCCTTACGTTATAATTACATTTTCCTGAAGTACTTAACCACAACACGTGACTGTTCTGTCACGAACTTTATCATGGAATCATTTCAAATTAACACTATAAACGTAGATCTTAATCGTAAACAAATTAAAATGACATTGTTTATCAAAAAAATAAAGATAACCACTGTCAAGTTTTAATTATAGTACTGTATGCTAATGTGAAAAGTTTATGCATATCACATAATACGCTTGACACTAACGTCGTTCAGAGAGAGGCGTGACATCTCTTGGCAGTTGGAAATTCTTTAGTAACTATCGAAATTCATCATGAAACTTTTTACCGTTTTGGTGTTTCTTGCAGTTTTGTCTCTATCAGGTATGTTTTATTATAAATTTTGAAATTATAAAGAAACCTTAGGTTTCAACTCCCTCAGGCAAAGTTGACCTTAGATGGATTTGGCTATTTTTTTTAGGTACTTTTGGTTATATAGCTCTTCAATTGTTTCGTTTCTTATACATCCTTGGCTTTCAAATATTCGGCTTTGAGCATTCCTGATGAAGGTAAATAAAAAAAAGGCGCTTCGGACGCATGTAATTTATAACGTGTTTTTTTTTTTTTTTCATTTTTCATTAACCAATTTTAAACATTTTTTGAATAATCCCTTTTCTGTTAGATTTGCCTTTATTTCAAATGTGTCAATATCATTCGCGACAACATTTTATTTTGAGGAGTCTTTCTTTTAAGCTTTCAAGTAGTATGCATATATGAGACCAAAGAACAAGATTAAATTGCGTAATCAACATATTGAATTTAAATATTCGGCTTTGAGCGTTCCTGATGAAGGTAAATAAAAAAGGCGCTTCGGACGCTGCATTTGTTTGCACCTGTCCTAAGTCAGGAATCTGATGTTCAGTAGTTGTCGTTTGTTGATGTGGTTCATAAGTGTTTCTCGTTTCTCGTTTTTTATATAGATTAGACCGTTGGTTTTCCCGTTTGAATGGTTTTACACTAGTAATTTTTGGGGCCCTTTATAGCTTACTGTTCGGTGTGAGCCAAGGCTCCGTGTTGAAGACCGTACTGTGACCTATAATGGTTTACTTTTATAAATTTTGACTTGGATGGAGAGTTGTCTCATTGGCACTCATACCACATCTTCTTATATCTACATCAAAATTTGCTGACAACTAAAGATAAGAAGAGAAATATGCATACATTTACAGTATCCTTGAAAATTTGACTTCTAAGGTTAATTTCAGTGGAACTGAAGGGCTTTTTGTTGCTAAACGTTAATAACATTAGCGATACAATTATTCCGCACCAGATACGTATTTCAATAATAACTGTCTCTTCAGTGATGCTCGAGGCCAAAATATTTGAAATTACAAAAAAATGAAGAGCTTATAAACCGAAAAAGACAAAAAGTGTAGCCAAAATTAACTTGCACAGAAATAATTGTGGTTTTCTTTTCTTATCGTGCTTTATGGTGAAGGTAATCTTTGTGTACTCATTGTTGAAGGTAATCTGGATGTACTCGTTATTAATGATAATCTTGGTGTATTTGTTATTGAAGGTAATCTTGATCGTATTTAAAGCATAACTGACCCTTTTTTTCTTGATGGACTAGATTTTCTGAACTATGAATTATATAGAAATTATATTTTTTTAGAGAGTATGACTTGTAAAACAATGAAAATTCATTGAATAATTGGGTTACATTGATCTCCATGACTTCAAAAATGAATGATTCTCGGTTAAATCACCAACGAAACCTCTTCTGAAGGTCATGGTTTTTTCTCTCTCTCGGAACCAGCAATTATTTTTACTTTAATCAAAAACATTTGTTTTTCAATAAATTTTAAGAAAGTGTTGTATCTATTTCTTTCCTCAATTTTCAACGGAAACAACAAACAATTTTCACATCACTTTTCAACCAGATTATTTTCTTTTTTCAAGAAATTTAGAATATAAATATTTATTTTTACACATCCCTCCACTTAAAGATGACTGATGGTCGGTTTTTTTTACTTGTAAAATTATATTAAGATAAAAACTGTAAAAAAAACAAGAAAACCAACAAAACCTGAACAAGAAATAACACGAACTATCGTCAATAATCAAAACCAAGTTCCGAAGATCAGTTTAGGATAATTTTGAAGCTATGGGTATCATAGTCATGAAGTACACTGCATTAAACACAAGAATAGCAACATTAACTCTACTAAGAAGGGTATTCCAGAAGTGTGAATGACTCCTGCTCCATTATCACATCTGTCGTGCTACTTAATTAAAGTATTTATGGAAGGTCATGAAGTGAGGAAACAAACACAGATTGAATCTAGGAGAAATGGGTAATTTCTTTCTTTATCAACTGTAGCTGGTGCCACTTAATCCATTGACAATTTCTGTTGTTTTAAGTCATTTTCATTGATTAATCATAGGCTATTAATAAAAAGAATAATAAATAATAATTCTAATTGGGAAAGGTTAAACATGTTCATACATTGCACCAACATGGTTGATGTGCTTGATTTGCAAATTAATTTTTAATTGTTGCTGTTTATTAAACTTTTCTTTTGGGGATGACGATTTTTGCATGATGTATATACATGTACTAGTTTATTTAATGTTCATCTGAAAGACATCATGTTTTACAGGCCTTACCATTGCTTCACGAAGTTATTTTGTTACTAATCAAGACATCATGTATTGCAGGACTTACCATGGCTTCACTTAGTTATTTTGTTACTAATCAAGACATCATGTTTTACAGGACTTACCATTGCTTCACACAGTTATTTTGTTACTAATCAAGACATCATGTTTTACAGGACTTACCATTGCTTCACTTAGTTATTTTGTTACTAATCAAGACATCATGTTTTGCAGGACTTACCATTGCTTCACGCAGTTATTTTGTTACTAATCAAGACATCATGTTTTGCAGGACTTACCATTGCTTCACACATGTTTGCAGGACTTACCATTGCTTCGCGCATGTTTGCAGGACTAACCATTGCTTCACGCAGTTACTTTGTGCCTAAAAGACAAAAGAGAGCAACCATACAGGAAAATTAAAACCAAAACAAATTATTTTCGTGTTTAAATCATTTTTTTCTCGACAATTTTTTTTCACCAAAATCTGGCAAAAAAAAACGCACCAAAAACGACAAAGAGACAAACAACTGTATACAAAACACAATATAGAAAACTAAAGACTGAACAGCACGAACCCACCAAAATCCGAGAGTAATATCAGGTGCTCTGAAAGGGTAAGCGGATCCTGCTCCACCTGTGGCACCCGTTGTGTTGCTCATGTAAGTACAAAACCTTAATAAATCATTTCGGTAGATCACATTCGAGGAAAAGAAGACGTTTACATTTTCAACAGAACGGGATAGGATTGTTTTTTTTATGACTTTCAATTCATGAAAACATTTGGAAGTCTTCAATAGACATAATTTTTTATAGCTTTTACATTGCCCAAGCATAGAAAAGTAGTGAAACAAAATTAACGTAGATTATCTAAGATAAGTAAATAAATTGTGTACTTTATAGAATGTAGGTTCTATAAAAGAGGGGTGAAAGATACCAAAGGGACATTCAAACTCATAAGTCGAAAATAAACTGACAACGCCATGGCTAAAAAAGAAAAAGACAAACAGACAAACAATAGTACACAAAACACAACATAGAGAACTAAAGACTGAGCAACACGAACCCCACCAAAAACTGGGGGTGATTGCAGGTTCTCTGGAAGGGTAAGCAGATCCTGCTCATATATTTTTACATTACATTACATTACATTTAAATTTACATTTACATTTACATTTACATTACAGTTGCTTTTCTGAGTGATCTGCTTCGATTAAAGGCGGTTAGTGCTATTATTGGAGGAAACAAGGGTGGAGCTTCCGCCAATTCAGGAGGCCATTCCTTTACAAAATTACTCTGGTGCAGAAAAACTCCTTCAGAATTTAGATGGCCATGTGCAAACTCAAACCACTGCAAGAGTTTAGTTCAACTTCAATGCGTAAGTGGAAGATGTTGTGCGATGGATTATGGAACGTTGATGTTAATTGGTATGTATTTCCTAGTTTTAGGACTAAGACATAGATTTAGTTAAATTGTAATGTTGATAAGTAATTCACAGCACTGGGTTGATAAGTCTGCTGATGGAATATCAGTCCCAGACGGTATCATCAGCTCAGTAGTCAATACTTCGGTACTGACATGATTTATAACAAACCTTTCTTAAATTGTCCGTTTATAATTTTTCAAATAATAAAGTAACCACCGTTTCAACTCCTTCGGGCAAAGTTGACCTTAGATGGGTTTGGCTATTTTTTTATGTTATTTTTAGTCATATAGCTCTTCAACTGTTTCGGCTCTTGTACATCCTTGGCTTTCAAATATTCGGCTTGAGCGGTCCTGGTGAAGGTAAATCCAGAAAAGCACTTCGGACGTATGAAATTTATAACGTGTGGTTTTCACTTTTTTCTACACTTTGATTCGTGCTGCGAGTTTGCACGTACCTTTTTATTTCTTGGAATGCATGGATTTTTTTTCTTAATAATTAATCATAATGCACATACAGTTATAACACACTCATATAGATGCGTCTTGACTACACCGTCATAACTTTTAGATATATCAGATGTAAGCTAGTACTAATAAGATTTATATTTATATTTTCAGATAAATAAAAGTATACCAGTAAACAGCATAATACTCTGCCTGAATGACATTTTTTCTTTAAACTGGGATTGTGTACTTTGAAAGACGAAATTAAATACTCAAATAAAATAAATCTGAAGGTCCATGATTGTAGCCAGACTTTCAAATAGGACTTCTTGATTACTAAAAATCATTTGCACTTCTTTATATCGCTGTACCCTATATGTAATAAATAAATGTCATAGCTCAGTTAAGCTATAAAGATGATAGTTAGATAATAAAAAAAAAAGATTTAAAATTAAAATAAGCCAAAACGATCGATGACCATCAGGCCCACAGCAATAAGTATTTTGATATATTTTTTTAATGTTATTGAAACACATGTGGGAAACACCTATGACATCCCCTAACTACATACAACTCAACTTGACAATTTTTATTATCCATGCTTTAAAATGTGAGTCATCTTTTCAAATATCGAATTATGGTTCCATTAATACATGTACTGGGTTTCATTAACATTATGTCCCGAAAGGAGCAAGCTTTAGGGATGAAATATTCGAAAATGTAATACCTATCAATTGTGAAATCAAAGATAAGCCATGATATGCTGTAGATATTTTGTTTCTAATAGGTACCATTTTATTCTGACAGAAAAAATGATTTTTGAAAACTTTGTCTAATAATCTAAATGCAAAATTGTACTTTATTTGATTGCAATTATTATGTTTGAATAAATTCATTCATTTCTTTTTCACTCCAGTGTTTTCATAATGTCCTTGAATTTTTAATCTCAGTTATTGATGTTGCTAGCAGTTTAAATTTAGAACAAAACACGAAACTTTGCATGCAACCAAGTATATTCAAAAACGATTTTTTGATAAATGAATAATCAAGGTTGTTTACATATTCTATTTTGAAGTAATTTCATATACTTATATGACCAGTCCCACCTTCCATTGTTTGGTTTCGTTGATAATTTTCAAGCCATAAAAAAGTAAGAATATATAGAACGATAACATAAACTATAAACACCTGATTTCCATTACACGATCCAATATCAATAGTGTCCACATTGTTTTATGCCGTCACAATATCTTCTGAACATTGTTGACGTTTAAAGTTAATATTATAATTAATCGCAGAATAGAAATATGAAACCTAGACTACCACATTCAGCAGTAAAGCCCATACCAAAGAGGGTCATCCGTTTGGCTTTACGGGGTGTGTTTAAATATGCAGTGTGGGTAGAATCTGAGAAGGGTGATGTTAAATGATTAAACGTTCACAAGGAAGCTATTAAGGGCATCCGATACAGTTTCTCGCTTTATTGTCATTTTTATAATTTTGAAATATATGTTGTAGGCCTGGGCTGGGAACAGTAAATCAATATATATGTTCCTTGCCTGGGCGAGTTATTAAAAAAACACCAAATAAAACATAGGTCACCATGCTTGTTTTCGAGAAAATTGAGGCTGAAAATAGGGGATTTTTGCTCTTTAGCAATGTTAAAAAAAAATTTAGAGTAGATATTCTTCGTCATGAACTAATAAGATTAGATTCAATCTGAAGCTGTGATAAGTGAAAATAAGGAAAAAATAAATCCATGCAAGAATGACTAGTTAAACATTCAATCCATTCTTAATATTATGAATAAGATCCTCAAAGTGGCATATTTTTTTTACCTAAAAATGTGGAAATCGCGAAGTTCTTATAATGTCATTTTCTACATTAAATGCCTTTTGTTATGCTTTCTCCAAATAGCAAATAAAAAATAAATGTTACCGTGCTGGATTCGAAGATAAATCGCGATTAATCCTAAAAATTGCGCCCCCTTTGGTAACCTCACCGTTAGCGCGAAAATTCACGACGTCGCTCGCTGATAATTTCGAAGTCTCCCGCCAATTATCCCTGCAAGGTCATCGGCGTCATTTTTTCCGATGTATAATGCTTATTTTTATCTACTTTGAGGGGTGGAAGGACCCGTTGCTGGAATTTGGGATTGAGACGTCTAATTCGCAGGAATTCGAGAATAGCAAGTTAAATCGCCAGGAATTAAGGAATTCGAGATTTGTTTTTAATCGTGATTCGGAAACTGAGATATTATTTTCACTGGAAATCGGGATTTGGCATTTATTTTATCGGAAATTCGGGATGACACCCGCCTACCCTTTTTAGAATAGAAAAACAAAGGATATGGGGCATCCATCCATGACACAAAATCAGTACATGCACAGCAAAAAACACCCAATAAGCAAAGGAACAGAGTCTGATTTAGGAGGCAAGGGGTATTGGCCCCCTAATGGAGCTACATATATGATAAATGCATAGACTTTTTACAAATATCTCTTCAAACGATGGCTTTCTAGTTGCCCCTTTTAAAAATCCTGGATCCACACCTGACTTTCCCTTTTTGAACAGCGGAGACTGTTTTCATAATTAAAAAAAGAGTATCATACATATATCTCATTGCTGTTAATGAGAATTTCAAAGTGATTACGAAAATTTTAACATCCTTTTTTCCATTATAATGTAATAATGTTTTATAGTAAACGGGAACATTGCAAATCGACATATGAGAATTAAAATCGCATTGTCAGCCATGTGGTTCTGAGCAAAATGATTAGAAACTTTTCATACCAGACCTTGTATACATCATTTGATATGTTACACCCAGTAATTTCAGAAGAAACGTCCAGTGGCAAATCAAATGCATTCTTGGACGAGCACATATTAATGCTTTGTACTAGACCGACACTATGAGCCGGGGTTTTAACGTTCTAGTTTACAAATTTACCGTACACAGAAAGACATGTCACCTTACCCTGACATATAAATCCGAATCCGAGTTTACCATTCTTTGCTGTTACTCCTTTATACCTTGTGCTAAGCGGAGAAGCATCATCCCTTCGAAAATTTTACGGACGCTATCACGAGTTAGTTGACCGTTATGGAATATCTGTTTCACAAATGGCGATGGATATGTTCCATTATCGTAACCACAATCCCGTCCTCCTTTCCCCCGAATGTGACATACCGAATAGACTCATCTCCCGGTTTGTACTTACATCAGCAACACGACAGGTGCCACATGTGGAGCAGGATCTGCTTACCCTTCCGAAGCACATGAGATCATCCCCGGTCTCTGGTGGGGTTCGTGTTGCTCAGTCTTTATAGATAAGATTAGGTATGAGCGTCAATGAGACAACTCTCCATCCAAGTCACAATGTGTAAAAAGTAAACAATTATAGGTCAAAGTACGACCTTCAACACGTAGCCTTGGCTCACACCGAACAGCAAGTTATAAAGGGCCCCAAAATGACTAGTGTAAAACAATTCAAACAGGAAAACCAACGGTCTAATCTATATAAGAACGAGAAACTCTGATGAACCACACCAACAAACGACAACCACTGAACAACTGGCTCCTGACTTAGTACAGGTGCATACAAATACAGCGTGTTTAAACGTTTTAACAGGCGACAACCTTCACCCTGACCTGAAACAGTAGTATATAACATTACAACATAAAAAGACACACTATAAAATATCAATTGAAATGGCTTTACTCGATCAAAAAGACATATTAACAAAAACAAGTAAATATAATTACAATGAACGAATAGGTTTGATCTATGACACAATATAAATACAATATTAATAAAAAAAGATGTAGAACAATATCAAAAAGACAACTCTAACCTGGGACAAAATGGCGTTAAAAAAAGTAAGGTAAATTTAAATATAATAATTTTGTTGTTAGGAATTCGGAAACATTTTTTACAAAATAGATAAGTTTGTTGTTCACAGTACGAGTACAGAACTAAAAATGTATAGTCATACTAACTACTTATCAAAGGTGGTATATATTAAAAATAGTGAGACGAAATATAACACAAAATAAGTACACATTGAATAACAGAAATGTATTACAAATTGTGACAAGAGGTCAAACTGACACGAAAGTGCGATTTGAGAGTACTCGCAGTTACTGAAAGCTAGTTAAAAGCCAAAAACAATTAATAATAAAAAATCATGCATCAGAGACTAAAATCAATTAAAACACATCACAGGGATTTAGTGTTTTAACGCCATTTAGTTTGTGTTTTGTATACTGTTGTTTGTCTTTTGGTCTTTTTCTTATTTTGCCATGCCGTTGTCAGTTTATTTTTGACTTATGAGTTTTAATGTCACTTTGGTATCTTTCGCCTCTCTTTTAATCCGATTCTCCAATCTTTCTCCACGTTAAATTACAATAGCATCATTTCTTTGAGAAGTCCGTAATAGGTTTATGCAAGGCAACACTGCTCCTATCCAACTTGCCTGATATTCTAGCAGCAGTCCCTCGTCCTTCATTCTAGTCGACCTACTCTGAAACGTCTATCTATCAAATATGTCGTTAATTTGTTCTCGTCTGGAATATGTATGTTATATTGGGAATAGCAGTTAAGACGTCTTTAAAAATGCCATAAAACCAGTTGTTGATTAATGATTCTTTGTATTTTACTTTTAAGAAGATGCCTTATCCGTCTTCATGTTTATCAATACGAGGGAACAGCCTAATATATGTACGCTCATAGATCGGACTTTGTATCACCGGCACTACTACAAAATATTATTTAAATTACTAATTGGTGATTCGCCAAGTTTGCATAATAATTAATGCCTACCGATACTATCAAAGATTGCCAAGTGTAAAATTATTTCTATGTTGAATACGTTTGTAACAGTTGATAAGTTTTCATATGATTTTTTTTATAACGTTGTCTGTTATTAACAATATTCATGAATCGATGGCCGACGTTTTGAATGTGTTCCTGTTTCATGATATTCTTGTTCGAACCGAGATGATATGCTGCATTAAGTGATTTCATCAAAGACAGCCGGCACAATTTATTAGATTTTTTATTATAATTAATTCGTAATGTAATTGTCCTGTTTTTTCTGGACAGTTTCGAGAGTTCGAATGTTTAAATATCATTGCTATAAGAGAGGGACTTCAATTGTACCATATTTTGTAAAACAACTACTTTTAATGTAACAAAAAGTTTTCTAAACTGACAACATCAAACATCAAAAGAGAGGAGAAAGATACCATAAGGGACATTCAAACTTATACTCATAAGTCGAAAATAAACTGACAACGCCATGGCTAAAAAAAGAAAAAGTCAAATAGACAAACAACAGTGAACAAAACACAACATTAAAAACTAAAGACGGAGCAACACAAACCCCACCAAAAACTGGGGGTGATCTCAGGTGGTCGGAAGTGTAAATAGAGCCTGGTCCTACACCACAGGTGTCACCCGTCGTGTTGCGCATGTTAGGACAAACCCCGTGATACGTTTAATTCGGTACGTCACATTCGGGGAAAAAGGGACGGGATTGTAGTTACGACAATTGGAACATATCCATTCATCTGTTAAACGGATTTTCAAGATGCCTTTTTCTGTAATGACAAGATATTTGTTTAGCGGACATGTATCTCAACAGGCAGTCGACGTTCCTATTGGAAGCAGCTGTGCTCCTAATGGTCATAAAGCTGCTAACGTTTCTGTTTATTTATACATCACTGGCTTTTAAGTGTTTTAGGTTTAGTGTTCCTGGTGGAGTATTTGTAAAATGTTATTTGCATTAACTAGAACTGTGTCGATGCCACTGCTGGTGGACTATAACTAGAACTGTGTCGATGCCACTGCTGGTGGACTATAACTAGAACTGTGTCGATGCCACTGCTAGTGGACTATAACTAGAACT